AGCGTGCTCTGCACAAGATCCGCACTGCGCGGGTACGACGGCACCGACAGAAGCCTGCCGCTGATGCTGTTGCCGCGCACCGACAGCCACGACCCGGACGCAAACGACGCCGACCCCCGCAGCACCAGCAGCGCGCCATCGGTCAGCGCACCGGTGTTGTCGTTCACTACGACGGCGGACGCGTTGGCCTCCACACCGCTCTCGAACACCAACCCATGCGCGGCGTACACCTGGCTCCCCGACACGCGCAGCACAGCGCCCCACGACGCAACCACGCGCGCACTCGCGTACAACGCATATTCGCCGCCGAGCACAGCCGCGTCCAGCGCGACACCGCCACCGACAAGCTCCAGCACGGCGCCGTCCACCACCACCGTCCGCCCACCAGTCATAACGGTCACAAGGGCCACGCCGGACACAATCAGCACGGACCGCACGAGCCGCAGGCCCGACAGCACCAGCACCGGTGCGTACGGCGAGGACTGCGAGCCGGGAAGATACACAAGCGGCGTCGACCTCGCGGCAACCAGCAGGGAGTCCGTCACCGTCAGCACAGACCCCGCGGGAAACGTGCCGCTCAGCACAAGCGCACCGTTCAGCGCCTCCACGTCGCACACCGACAGCTCCACCGGCCCGCTCTCGTCGCTCCCCATCGCCACCGCACCGCGCAACGCTCCACCGCCCATCACGTACAGCACGGCACCGTTCAGCAGCGACACGTTCTGCACAACGATCCGCACGCCGTCCCGCGCCATCCACGGCACGTAGAGCACCGGGCTCACGCCGTCCAGCACAACGTGGCGCAGCGTCACCTCGCTCGCGCCAGCAGGCACAACGAACACAGACCGCACCGTCACGCCCTCGCGGAAGAACACACTCGGCGCAGTGCCCACAGCAGACGGCAGCGCGGGAGCTCCCACAGGCACGCACGCCTCGCCGTACCCGCCGCTGCCGCACGCGCACACGCACACACCGTTCCTCATGCTCACCGACGCCGTCCCGGGTGCGTAGCAGTGCGTGTTCCTGTCGCAGTCGTCGCACCCAGCAACGTCGATGCTCCCAGCGTCGCCAAAACCAGCCGCAGCGTACTCCTCCGCCGTCGACAGGACACGTCCACCAGCGTCGTTGCACGCCACCCTCACATGCGCCCCAGCCGCAAGCAACAGGCTCAGCGACAGCATCCGCGGCAGCAGCGCTCGGTTGCGCACAAAGCTCAGCGTGCTCCCAGCAGCGGTCACAGCGCCAGCGGCGTAGAGCATCTCCCTCGAGGCGCCGTCGTGCACGTTGTCCTTCGCCAGCAGCATCGACCCGCCATCCAGACTCACCGTCGAATAAAACGCCACCGCGTAGTCCCCCGTCGACGAAAATTCGCTCCGCACAAGCGCCACAGCGGAGCCCGACACGCTCACAGCCCCACGCACAGACACCGCGTGCTTGCACAGCAGGAAGTCGCTGTCAAGAAACGCCACCACGGAGCCGCCGCTGGGCGCGACACCGCCCTCCACCGACACGCACAGCCCCAGCGCCGTCTGCAC